TCCTTTAATATTTAACTGAATTAAACCAAAAAACAAAATTGAACATAATAAAAGCATTATTTTCGTAAATTTTCCCGTTTTTCTTACGTTTTATCCTGAGTTTTCTTGATATTATGAAAACNCAATCTAGTCAATATGAGAATATTTTCTTTCAAAAAAAGTGTTACACTTACATATCGGTGCAAGATTTCTGGTAGAAAATTTTGACAAAGTAAAAATAAAAAATATATCATTGTAAGTTCAATAGTTCAATAAATTAAATTGATGACTTTCATTTTTGATCAACGTTTACTAAACTAACTAAACTAACGACTAACCAATAACTTAATGAATAATGCTAATATGCGATTTGCATTTTGTGATAAAAACAAATATTAATAACTCGACAAAATTGCCACCTCTAAATTAGTTACAATTTGGCCACTGGGGTCATTTGCTCCTAACCCCCCCCCACCCGAATTGCACCAATTCCACTGAAGTCATAAGTGGGTAGTACAATATACGCATATTTCATTATTATAGTTCGTTTTAAAAGCCTCGAATAAAAATGTTGTATTAATTCTCCGGGTAAAAATTCCCATTATGTAGGTTTTAGATTCTGAGCGCAGCGAGTAATAATTTATTGGTTTTACAATGATGTTCCATTTTTTTTTATCTGTGAATGATCAGCAATTCTGCTCCAATTTTTATAACCTATATTAAATAAAGTTTTCTTTTTTCTCGGTAATATTTATCCTCGATGCTCTCCCCTACTGGATACGCCCTCGCCTCTTCGATATCTTACATAGGATAAGGGTATTTAAAGCGTTTCGGTTAAAATGTACCAAATAAATAATGGTATTACCTATTACAATATTATATTATTATAAAGTATAGAAATATATTGTTATTTTTTTCCTTGCTTCATTATAAATAATTTGTTCGTTCCGGGCGTCCGCCGATGTTCGTGAATCGATTTCCATTGTACGGTGAGTGCCATAGGAAATAATAATTGCGGTATAGCCGTTTAAATGTAGACCACCGCCGCCACGCCTGGATATTCCCCCCACCATTCCACCGGTTGACTTTCTACGACGTAAAATATAAGTTATGACGTAGTTTATTATAAGTACAGAATAACTTGTTACACATGAGTGTGTTTTTTTTAAAAAACCGTGTTATATTATTATACGAAACCTTTTTTTTTCTCTCTCTCCTCTCTCTCAATACTCAAACCACACCGACTACATAAAAAAATAATTCATCGAGGAGCACACTGTGCAGCACTGGCGGGTCGTGTTATTGTCCATTTTCATTGGAATCGACCACCAACGACGTTCACCGCGTTATAATAAGTATTTATATTATTTCCAACAGTAATTTCGTTTCTCCAAAACATCTGCCCGGCGCTGGCAACAAAATATAATGTTTTCGTATTATACACGGATTATATACAATACAATAATGTCAATATGTGCGTTTGAATATTATCAACTAAAGGATATTATGCGTGGTGGTATTCGTTGTTAGTTATCTAAAAAAAATATCCGGAAAAGTAATCCTCAGAATAAAATTTCCTGCAAATGGCATTGGGTATTTAGGTAATGGCAAATGTAGCATTTGATTAATTTAAGATTGTTTTTTCGTCGATGTGCTGATCAAAGATTCATTCCCACCTATTAAAAACTGAAATGATTCGATTGCGCGAGGATGGACGTGACTATACATCTGATATATTATGGCTAGATATACAGTGTGTAGTACAAAATAAACATAGTATGGTTAAGTATACGTTTTTATGTATTATTTTTTTTTCTATATATTTTCTAATGGAGTGATTATGTCGGGGGGTTGTAATATTTATATTATGATTGTATAAACGTTGTTTAAAATTTCCGTTAAAATTTATAAAAAAAAAAAAAAAAACTAACAACTGCGCCAACGTATCACCATAATTTTAAAGGACGACATTTTTTTTTCTTTTGGTAATCTTGTACCTTTCAGTCCGAGTATCTAATCTAAGATACATTTCGGAAATATTTTATGACTCTGCGTCCTTGTGCCAGCCGGACGACCGAAAACCTTGTATTATAATATCTCCCCTCACCTCGAATGACGATGACGCATATAATAATATATAATAACGTTTAATGTGTGTTGTACGTGTATTGAATTTTAGTAGATATTCTCCGATAACTGATAACAAGGAGAAATAAAAGAAGAAACTTCTGGAAGGTCCTATTATAGAAAATAATAACGAGTGGATAACCAATAAATATTATTTGTAAATTGTAATCCTCCCGCGTCTGGTCTTGGGCACTTTTTCGGAATGATATCAATCGCACGAGACCCCAGTTCCACGGGGATCGTGTAGTTTCGATTCGTTCGGTGTAATAGGCATTGATTGTAGTATCGAATTATTGTCAATAAAAAGGGACGGTATAGGAATGCGGTGTTTTTTTTCTGGACCCATAAACCGTACGAATATTTCCGAAAAATCGTATATTATAAAAACGTACTTTTCTGTTTACAACGAGGGGGATAAAAGGTACATTTATCAGTACCGGTACCGCTCCGGCCATCCTTTAGGAAATACCTTAACAAACACCGCTGGCGACACGTAGACGCCAAACGCATTTCCGTTCAAGTCTAACAATTTTGCAATAATGTGCCTACTGAATAAATATTACATACAAAACTCTCAAAATTAAAATATCTAAAAAAACCTCAAAAATGGTTTAAATATTTTAATTAACCAAAATCATAAAACCATAATTGATAACGAATATAATTAGGGTTATCGCGAAAACACACCTTATATTTTATAGAAAAATAGAACAAACCATTTGAAAATTTAAACACTCAAAAAATTTATTTTATAAAACACTAAAAAATTCCCTTAAAATAATAAACTCAACCTTAATAAAAGTTTTTGACTCCGAAAGTTTTCTGAAAATTGAATCGAGAAACATCTCGATGTTTTTTTTAAAATTTTGGAATGCAAATTACCTAAACAAATATTAAATGTATTTAAAACATTTTTATATTATAGTGCCAAGATATTTTAATAATTTTTTTAAAAAAAAACTTAAAAATATTTGATAGAAAAAAGTTATTACATTTGTCAAATTTTCCAGTTACATTCTATATATATATATTTTGCTCTAATATCTGATAATTGTGTTCCATAGTTTTTCACACAGTTTATGATATATTTTAAATCGTGGTTTTCACCGTGGACGACCCAGGTTATAACCACGATTAAATAAATAAATTATGTGGTTAAAATCAAAATGTTTGTGATTTCAATAAAAACATCATTATATGATTTGGTCTTAGTATGTAGTTCTTATATTTACAGAATAAAATGATAATAGCATACTGAAAAAATGTTTATCATTTTAGTTAAGACAGTTTTATTACCTTGTGTTATAATTATTATTCACTACTTTGTTACTTGTTAGCGTTATTTGGAAATTATGCATCGGATATGAATGTGTTATGTATTAAAAATAATATAAATAATTTTTATATCAAAATGGCTACTTTGTAAATTTTCTAAAGTGAATAAATAAAAAGTAATTTTTTTGCGTGTTTAGGTGATGAAAATAAAAATTGTGATGAAAATA